ACGCCACCCAGCTAATTGCAATTCCCTAAAAGTTTGATAAAGAGTAGCAAATGTTGCAATTCTACAGTTTTTGCAAGCAGGAAGAAAGAGCCAACCTTAGCAAATGAGATCGGAAACCGCCAGCGTTAGGAAAAAAACCCTCCGCCAATGGTTCATGCCAATTAACCCTGAAAGTAAAACGATTAAACCCCAAAACCCCTGAACTTGAAATGCCAAAGCCTCCAAGCCTCGCACCCGGACCCCAGACAACGAACCTGAGCGCAGGCGAGAAGGGAACCGAGCTTCTCGACAGCTGCTGTGCCTGCCGAGGTGCAGCTCCCAAGTCTGAAGCCTTCTGCAGCCCTCACAACATTGGTTTCTAGGCTTTCGAAATTTAACCTTAGCCAAGCTTAAACCATTTTCCGGGCCTCAGTTGATCCTCGGGCAGAAGCAGATGTGAAGGGTCCCCAAGAGGGAAAGAGGGATCACGAATATCTGCACGGCTTGTAGATCTGAACCTACGAATACTTCAGGAGCATTCATGAACTAGCGGTGTCCTTTTTTGGCACCAACCCGGCGGCACCAAGTAAAGTATTGCCACAGGAATTCCCTTGATAGCGTTTCTTTCCCGGCAGTGGGCCGATCACGGAGCCGTCAACCCTGCCTGCAAGCTTCAAGATGACAGAGACCCCGAGCCTGAACACCCCCAAGCTCGTGCTTCGGAGTCGAGGCCTTCATTGCGAGGGCCTCCGAAGACCAAACCGACTGCGCAGGGTCGGTGCGATTCATTTGCACCGAGTGCCTCCTCTTGCAATGGGAAGCTCGGCCGGACAAGGCGATGCAGCCGATCTGGATGGATTTCGCTGATTTCGAGATTGTTGTTGAAGACTGTTTTTTGGCATGGCCGGGTTCCGAAAGGAAGTGCACAGGATAAACCAATGGAGCTGCATGAGTTTTCTTGGGTTCATCGTGCGATTGGATAACGCCCACCAGGTCAACAGCCCCTGAAGCCATGAAGCGAAGATCTCGAGATGCCAACTCCGGGAATCTGGTTGAACCTGGCTGCCAAATCTTACCAACCGCACTGTGAGCCAACCGGAACCGTGCGTCACTAGACCCCGTGGACCCGGATGCTCCACAACGCACTCGAAAACACATCCATCGGAGCTTCCAGCAGCGAACTGCAGGGCCTTCAGTGCGGAGTGTGCCGACAGGCCGAGAAGATTTTTTTGCGTTGCAGGGGTCTCTATCCGGTTTTTGGTCAATGAGGTATTACCACACTTGTATTTCAGGCAACGGCCAATGGATCCTTGAGAAAAGAAACCGAAGTCACAGTCTATGCGTATTTATCCTTGGTGGAGTAGGCACCCAGACCCGAACTTGTAATTGGCCGCGATGTCAGCAGTTTTGGGTCGAAGGATGTTGAGCTTTGTGCGTTTACGAGCACAATGATGAGAATGTAGGGTTCACAAACTCTCCGAATCGGGTTAACCACTGGTCGGGATTGTGTTTCCGGGTACTTTGCAACAGGTTCGCAAGTGTTGGCAATGGGTGTTTTCCAAATTGGTCGCATGCGGCGCCTGGCACAGATTTCTCTGAAATGTGAACATCTTCGTCCAACTGTGTCAGGGATTGCCAGTGCGAGTGACGCAGGGTTTGCAGCTCCCTCGACTCGGACACCTACCGGATCAGACTTCAGATTTAAGGCGCTAAGTGGGTCGTCTGTGGAATGACGGCGCTTTGGTTTCAGCTCCCACTAATGCGGATTTCCATTGATATGAAGGGGGAAATAAGTAAAACTTGCCCGGTCTTATTGGGCTCTGCAATCTGTTTTCTGGGGATACCCAATAATGAAAAAAGTCTCCGGCGTGCTTTTTTGTAAGCATGGCTCTGAGCTATTATCTGAGCTGCTAATTTCTATGTGAGCTGGCGTTGGCACTCGCACTCTTGGTACTGTCTGAGCTTAACTAGGTCCTGAACGCCGGAAAAACTTGAGAGTGTATGTGTGATTAGCAATCAGTCGTAAGTAACTACAATACATACTAGTAAGGTGAGAAAAGCCTCCCATGGATGCTATTCCTACTAGCACTACTAATAGCAGCACTCTTCCCCAGACTTTCCGGAGCTTGCCCCCAGGCACCGCCTTATCACTTTGTTGTGTTTGGTGCCAACACCAATCGGAACCCCACATTAACTGAGACTGCTCGGTCGTGGCTCGGTCGGAGCTCAGGCCTTCAGTGGACGAGCCGCTGCGCTGCTAACAGAGAGGCAGCCTAGGGCGCCGGGTCTGAGCACGGATCTAATGTTCATGTTCAGCGGGCCGCAGGCATGGGGCCATTGAAGGTTTTGAAATTCCGGATTTGCAAGGCTTTGGGCCTTGAGTTAGTGGTATTGAGTCTGAAGGAACCGGAAACAGGTGGAGGCAGATGCCCAGGAGAAGTCAAAGGGCTGAGGAACTGCAGCAGCTGTAGCACCTTTCGCCACCAGCCTTGAACATGAAGCTGCTGACTCACAGGAAACTTGAGGTCTGGTGGTTTTCCATTCTGCAGGTCGGTCCACTGGGTTGGGGGAGCGAAGGATCAGTTCTGCATGGCGAGATGGGGGTTTTGGTGCATCGGGCCCTGAACTTTCGAGCTTCTACTTTGCATCCTGCAAACTCGCAGACTCTTCCTGGAAGGCTGCAGAAGCACGTCGAACAGCAGCAGGACCTGCGGCGTATCGGCAGACGTAATTGGGGCACTGTGAACCTTAGAATTTTGGGTTCTTCGCAGTTGTACTGGAATGCCGTGACATGTGCCGAGCGCAAGCACCCTGATTGTATTTCCCCTTGTGCCAAGAAGGACGTCCAGACTGGTCCCAGCATGGACCTGTTAAAACAACAGGCGTCCTAGCTGCAGCTGTTGGTTTGGAGTTTGGCCCGGAGCAGCCCTTCATTGCACTTGGGCTTCAGCTTCTTGTGGCCTAAAGGATTCTACAACACCTCAATGCTCCTCACACAGCACTCACGGAGGCTGTCCCCGATCTTGAAATCCAAATGCTTCGAAGTCTGAACCTCAGAACCCAAGAAATGAACCCTTGAGCCCCGGAACCCTGCAGCGGACCTGCATTCCTGCAGCCGCAGTCATAATTTCTGAAGCCCTGAGCCCAACACCGTGAACCTGCCCTGCCCAAACTCCATGTGCCAGGTCACGACTGCAACTGGGCTGTGGCAGCAGGGAAAGCTCCAGGCCTTCACACAGAGAAGCCGGCACGGATGCCAGCTTTCACCTGTTTGGGCTTCGACATGTTTAGGGGTGTTGGTGAATTTCACACCATTCCGCCACTCTTGCAGAAGAAGCTTGGTCGCAGGAAGCTGCCAATCTCTTCCGCGAGACCATCACAGGCAAGGTCAAAGGGGGTTCCCTAATCTTGCAAGTGCCCCATGAAATCTAATTTTTGAGTCGATTAAGTGCTTCGAACCCGCATAGATGTTGATCCTCGTTTAATCTGCAACCTGGTCAGGCCTCAAAATGACGGATGCAAAGGCCTGAGGGGTAGAGATGGGCAGTGGGGCTGAAGGGTTCAGTGCGGTGCGAAGGAAGGGCTACACCCTTTGGGCTACAAGTCGTGTGTAGTAGCGCATGCTGGGCCTTGGGAGTATCTAGCAGGACGAAGAGAGGCCGACTCACCAGGAGACTTGGTGCTGCATGTCACTTCTTAGGTCCGTATCATCGTCTTGAAAAAAGCTTCCTGCTTGTCGAACCTTGAAGTCACCTCTGGCACGCCGCAAAGAACATGTCCCTCTCGCTCAAACGGCAAGTGCTGCTTTATGCAGGGGCAGCTGTATTCGGCACAGTCGGCGCCTCTGTTCAGTGAGGATCCAGGCTTCAGGCTGTGCAGCGCAGGGCCAAGTCAAGGGTTCGGGGCTGAACCTTACATGCAAGCTGTTTGACCTCCAAACCCACGGACCGCAGAAACTTCTCTCCAACGGACAAATTGGCATTTGTAGGATGCGGGGTCGATGCAGGGTCCAAGAGCCCCTAATGACTGTGAACCCCACTATGGTTTTAGAGACCCCTTGGAGCTTCAGATGCCAAGGCATAACCTAAGCCTGGTCATGGTTGCCATGGGGCGTCCAGAGGAGCACGACCTCTGTGTGATCGGGGTCTTTGCATTGAGGAGCTGTTTCCAAAAACCGAGGATAATAATCGACGTTGTTGGTGATGTTCTTATTGTTTGTTGCTGCACTGCCAATGCTGCTGCTATTCAGACATGCTTAAGATGACGTGCTTCGGTCTTTATCAGTAATTAGCAGCTGTAAGTGGTCATCGTAGAAGTGATAGTCCGTGCAGTGGGTGTGCCCGTTGGTTAGCCAGTTGCTGACTTGGTTAGCAGTAGAAGCTGGGCTTTCAATTTGGAGCCAGGCGCGATGGGTCGTCATCGCCGTCGTCGTGCATCCTGCGTCCTCGGTCCTGCGCTCTGCATCCTGCGACAGGTCATCGTCGTCGTGGTAATAGGAGGAGGAGGAGGAGCAG